CTCTTTCAGCCATAGATGACTCAGCACACATAACAACAGCAGCAGTTCAACATTGACCCTGTAGCCCCATTCACAGTGTGGTTTAGGATCCTGTAGCCCTACTTGTCCTGCCATCAGCCCTGATGGTGGATTATTTAGTGATTGGGGTTTGGAATAGTCCCTTGTATCCCATACATGAGTCCTTGAACCTGGGGCAGGCAGGGCAGCAATTGATTTGAAAGTGGAGAAAACTCTGGCTCAAGAGGAGAAGGACCTTATGCGGGGATGTATAACAGGCCCCTGTGGGAGTCAGTGCTTAAGTTCAGGACTCTTGTTCTGCTGAAATCCCATGTAAGTCTTGAGTCCCTGACTGGCTATTTCAGCAGAAGCATAGGGGCAGAGCTGCGGCCTCACAGATCCTTTCAGGGCTGGCACCCAGGGCCTGAGCAGGTGCAGAGCTGGCTAATGCCTTTCCTGCATTGTCCCCTCTCCCTGACCTGAGCTCATGCATGCTTCTTCCACTCCCCCGTAAGCGACTTGCTGAAGAGGCAGGAAGTGGTTTAAGTCATTATGGTTTGAGTGCTGCCCCAAGATGTGGCTGTGATCGGTGGTCACTTGTGTGTGAGGGGGAGTCAACTTGTTTTTCTGACTCTGCTTGGTGAGAAGGGGCACAGGGTGGGTGGAGGAGGCAAATGTGAAACGCTCTGAGCTGAGTTTTTCCTCTGAGGTGAATCCTCGCGTTGGTGGGGAGCTTCCCTGAGATGGGGCTGAGGCCAGGCCACCTGTTCACCTGAAGCAGCCTCCATGGCTGCCAGGGCTGGGGTGGCAGAAGTAAGTAGGGACTATGATCTGGGCACCCAGGTCAAAGGAGGCCTGGCCACTTGCCTAGTTGGCAGCAAGAATCCCTTAGAGGGGCCAGGCGCGCGCGCATGCACGTCTGTGTGTGTGTGTGTGTGTGTGTGTGTAATGCAATCTACTCTAGAATTTGTCTTTTACGGTGTGATTGGCACAGGACAGAGCAGAGTTTAGGGCTGTTGTACATAGAGTCGCTATGGGTAGCAAGCAACTCGACGGCACGTAACAACAACAACAACAACAACAACCTGCTTTCCTCCAAGAATCCTCAACTTTCTTGCCTAGTGTTTTACCACGGTAAAATGGCTTGACGGGCCATGGTAAAGATCTGTGTACCGCTCGATGTACCACTAGGTTAAGGGTGTGCAGCTGTGTCCCCTTGAACATGGCCCTCCTGCTTTTGTAACAGAACTCTCCCTTTCCTAATGGTGGGCCTGTTTCTCTCCCTGGTTTGTGTTTTTTTGTTTGCTTGTTTTACTTGTTTAAAAATTAGAATGATTCTTGAGTTGGCACCCAAATCAGGAGCACTACCTGAATGGGCCTAGACCTAGGATTCCCAGAGACCACTGGGGCACCGGATGAATTCATTTCTCCGAGTGGAAGAATCACAAAAACAAGATCAGTCATTTCACTGTAACTTTCACTGTGTATTTACCAGGTCCCAGATACTATTATTCCTGGACTCCCTTACATGCTCAACTAGCTAAAAGGTTGTAGGTTCAAACTTAACTTGGAGGTGCCTCTGAAGACAACCCTGACCATCTGCACCTGAAGGGTCACAGCCTTGGGCACCTGTGGAGCAGTTCTTCTCTGCAGCACACTGGAAACAACTTGAAAGCAACTGAACAACTGGCACTGTTCCAAGGGCTTTACATTAGGTTAGGTGCCGTTGAGTGAGTACAGCTCATAGCGGCCCTGTGAACGACAGATCTGAACCCTGCTCTATCCTGTGCCATCCGCACACTTCCTGACATACGGGAGCCCATTGAGGCAGTCACCGTGTCAGTCCACCTAGTCAAGGGTCTTCTGCTCCTCGCCAACTCTCTTCCCTTCTGAGCATCGTGTTCCTCTTCAAGTAATAGCCCCTCCTAGCAACATGCCTAAAGTATGTGAGGTGAAGCCTCATCACCCTTACTTCCAAAGAGCACTCTGGCTGCACCCTCTCCAAGACATATCTGTTTGTTCTGCTCTTGAATCAATTCCTTCTGAATTTCAAGATCATTTTAGGAATATGTTGAAGGCATTGAACACCAATGATCGAAGAAGATGAGTTGTGGGATCATTCATGAAGAAAGCAAAAGGTCATAACAAACAGAGGTTTTTGTTGTTTGTTGCTATAACGACACTATAAACAAGAGCCCTAAATCCTGCTCTATCCTGTGCCAACCTCATTGTCTCCAACACACCTACTCTCACTACCTCAATCACTGAATCGATCCATCTCATGGGAGTCTTCTCCTGTGCCATCCCTCCACTCTCCCAAACATGATGTCCCTCTCCAAGGACCAGTCCCTCCTTGCAACATGCCCAAAGTATGTCAGATGAAGCTTCAGAATCCTTGACTCCAAGGAGCAGCAGGCTTCACCCTCTCCAGGACAGACCTGTTCGTTCTCCTAGCAGTCCATGGTATATTTAACACTCTTCTCCAGTACCACAGCTCAAAGGCATCAATTCTCCTTCTATCATCCTTAGTCACCGTCCAGCTCTCCAATGCAAAGCACACAATTGCAAAAACTATAGCCTGGATCAGGCGCACCTTAGTCTCCAGCCTGATGTCGTTGCTCTTCAGTACTCTCGAGAGGTCTCTCACAGCTGACTTTCCCAATGCAATTCATCTCTTGATTTCTTGGCTGCTGGTACCAAGAGTGTGACTGTGAAGCCAAGTAAACTAAAACTGTTAATTATTTCAGTCTCTTCACCATCCATTCTGATGCTGCCAGTTGGCCCAGTGGTAAAAATCTTTGTTTTCTTGATGTTAAACTTCAATCCATATTGAAGACTGCAGTCCTTGACCTTCTGAAGCAAGTGCTTGAGGTCCTCCTCAGTTTCAGCAAGCAGGGTTGTGTCATCTGCATAACGCATGTTGTTGATGAATCTTCCACCAATCCTGATGCTATATTCTTCCTCATACAGCCCAGTGTCCCAGATGATCTATTCTGCATAGAGATTAAAAAGATGGGTAGACAGAATACATCCCTGGCAGATGCCCTTCCCAATTTTGAACCATACAGTATCTCCTTGCTCTGTTCTGATGACTGTCTCTTGGTCCAAGTATAGGTTTTACATAGCACAATCAAATGTTCTGAATTCTCATTCTTTTCAGATTCAGCCAAGAAAAAAATTGAAATGGATATCAGAAGAGACTCTAAAAATTGCACTAGAGTGTAAAAATAAAACAAAAATATGCTGAAGTAAAAGAGCTGAAAGGAAGAGTTCAAAGGGCAGCTTGGAAGGACAAAGCAAAGTATTATTAATGGAATGTGCAGAGAGCAGGAATTGGAGAATAAAAAGGAAAGAATTCGCTCTGCATTTTTCAAGCTAAGAGAGCTGAAAAATTTAATCCTCAAGGTGCAATATTAAAAGATGCTATGGGCAATATATTGAATGACCCAGAAAGCATCAGAAGATGGAGAGAATACACTGAGTCATTGTACCAGGAAGAACTAATCGACACTGAAAAGTTTCAGGAAGTTCCCTATGAAAAGGAGCCAATGGTAATGAAGGAGGAAGTGGAAGCTGCATTAAGGCCCCAGGAATTGATGGGATACAAATTGACTTTTTTCAGTTAAGAGAGGAAGCTTTGGATGCACTCACCAGTCTATGCCAGGAAATTTAGAGAACAGCTGTCAGGCCAACAAATTGGAAGAGGGAGGTCCGTTTGTGTTCCCACCCCCAAGGAAGGTGATCCTATTGAATATGGAAACTATCGAACAATGTCATTAATAGCACATGCAAACAAAATACTGCTGAAGGTCATTCAAGGGCTTTACATAGAACATCTCATTAACCATCAGCAAACCAGTGAGGTGATACTGTTGTTACGATTGAGGAAATCAAGGCCGATTTACTGCAGGTTACTGAACTAGCGACTAGGGAGGGGTTTTTGAGCAATTCTTTACCAAGACTTGAAGTGAAAATCACCATTTCTTATTCTGGGCTGACTTGAGTAAGACTGACCACTCCAGAGCTTGTGGCTTCTAGAGGGCAGACTCCCTTCTGTCCTGGGACTGCCTGCTGTCCACTACTGCTGCTGATCAGGAATCTCCAGGCCCTGTATGCTCAGGGCCAGGGAGAGGCTGGTGGCTGGACTGGGAGCGGTGGGACAGTGACAGATCAGAATGCACTTGTCCTGATGCATGAAGCAGTCACTACCCTGCTCAGCGACTCCCTGTGATTAAAATCTGAATTCTCAAACATGAGAGACTTCCTAGTTTTTGAAAGAGTGAGGTCACACTAATAGAGCTGATTACTGCCCTGAGTCACTGGATGGGCCCTGCTGCCTTGCGCCCTAACTTGGTGGCTCCTAGTTCTGCCTAGCCCTGTTGTTGTTGTTGTTTAATGCCGTCGAGTCGTAGACGACTCATAGCGACCCTATGAACGAACAGCCTGAACACTGTTCGTACATAGAGTTTCCAGAGGCAAGCCATTTTGGAAGTGGATGCCGTTCCTGCTTCCAGGCTTGATTTAGTCGGGAAGCTCCAGCCAACACTGTCCACCGTGGCTTATTCCTTTGTCAGTATCTCTCACTAGAGTGTAAATGAATTCCTTGAAGCCTGAGACCCGTCTAAAACCTCTAAGCACCATACGTGCACCTGGCACATAATATGAAAGAAATCCCAAACTCAAACTATTGCCACTGAGTAGACCATAACCCATAGCTTATAGGACATACTAACACTTCCTCATAGGGGTCCCAGGGGCAAGTCTTTATGGAATTCCAGTCTTTATGGAAGCAGGCTTCGACTGAATCTTTCTCCTGTAAAACAGGTTTGAACATTTCAGTTACTAGCTGAGTGCTTACGCACTGAGTCACTAGGGCTTCTTACTGTCGAGGAGGAGATTCCAGGATATGGTTGTTAAGAGAATGAGTCTATGTTCCCTGTCTCACGGTCAGGATGCCTTCAGGGTTGTGGAAGGCCTCATAGTCCCTCATTTCTGTTGCACAGAATCCGAGAGTCCCAGTAAAAGCAAGTCCCATACTGGCCTGGGGAAGAAGTCTCGGCTGATGAAGACAGTGCAGACCATGAAGGGCCATGGGAATTATCAGAACTGCACAGTCATGAGGCAGCACACACCGCACTCAAGCTATGGCACCTATGTCACTCTGGCCCCCAAAGTCCTGGTGTTCCCTGTCTTTGTTCAGGTAAGCTGGTGGTTGGCCCCAAGGATTCCCTCTGAAGGATAATAAAGAGAGGCCGGTCTATGATTGAGAATCTGCCTTTAAGAAAGATAAATGCCTTCTGAGGCATCTGGGTTCTGAGGCTTATACTGAGGGACTGGAGGCTTTTCAACAGGGGAGTAGGGTAGAGGGATAGCAGAACCCTAAAACAAAGAGAATCCTCTCTCTCTCTCTCCTTCCCTCCCTCCCTCCCTCCCTCCATCCCTGCCCTTCTTCCTTTGAGGACAAAACAGACACACTCCAGCTTCTTCCTCCTTGTTGAGTAGGGAGCCATGGCTCATTGTAAGAGTGAGGGCCTGTTTGCTGATGTTCTTACCCTCTAACGGGTCTAGCAGGTAACTAGTGATTACAGAAAGTGAGCCTTGAGGTGTGAGCATCGTTTCCAGTCAATGAGCTGGTGGTCTGAGATTCTCTTACATCTTACTTCTTCCCTACTTGCACCTCATTCTTCTGAAAAAAAGACCTTTTATTTATCCCACCATCCAGACATAACTATATA